GGCAAGTTGTTCCACTGATTAATTGTTCTCACTGTCAGGAAATTTCTCCTTAGTTCTAAGTTGCTTCTCTCCTTGATTAGTTTCCACCCATTGCTTCTTGTCCTGCCCTCAGGTGCTTTGGAGAATAGCTTGACTCCCTCTTCTTTGTGGCAGCCCCTGAGATATTGGAAAACTGCTATCATGTCACCTCCTCATCTTTCTTTTCATCAAACCCAGTTCCTGCAACCGTTCTTCATAGGTTTTAGCCTCCAGTCCCCTAATCATCTTTGTTGCTCTTCTCTGCACCCTTTCTAGAGTCTCCACATCTTTTTTACATTTTTTGGTTTTGTTCTTGTGTACCCTCAAGAATGCTTGTTCTTGCCATAAAGCTGCTCCTAAATATGAGTTGGCAGACTTGGGACATATGTCCACTCAAAGGATGTCAATGATCATTCTCTTGCTTAGTTCTCTCAGCATCATCAGGTTCCATATTTGGAAATTTACAGAGTGTCAAACCTGAAGTGAGCCTGGCTGAAGCCATCTTGGAGGCTCCAGGGTTGACAGAGATTGGTGGAAGGAGGGAAATAGTTAGTTGGGGTTTTGTAGCCAAAAACAATAAATTTTTCCAGCCACACAGGTGGCTGGCCAGAGGAGGAGCCACTAACCAAGCAATCAGCCAGCACTTGGATTCAAAAGCAGGACCAGTGACTTGGGGGAAAAGGGAAAACTTTTATTTTTAATCAGCTGAAAGCCGTAGGAAAATTCAGAGTCGGCTTTCACCAGTTATGCCAATATGGTGTATCCAATAAACTGTTCTTTGAGGAACTCGCCTGCCTCTGAGTGTTGTTTCCTAAGGGTGTGTTACTTGGAGCGCTGACATAGTAGAATCCCTTATGCCACCAGGCTTGAAATGTTGGGCTTGGACAACCTTGAACTACGCCGCCTACGATCTGACCTAAGCATAGTACACAAAATTGTCTACTACAATGTCCTACCTGTCAACGACTACTTCAGCTTCAACTGCAATAATACACGGGCAAACAATAGACACAAACTCAATGTAAACCGCTCCAAACTCGATTGCAAAAAATACGACCTCAGCAACAGAGTGGTCAATGCCTGGAATGCTCTCCCTGACTCCATTGTTACTTCCTCAAACCCCCACAGCTTCAACCTTAAACTGTCTACCGTGGACCTCACCCCATTCCTAAGAGGTCTGTAAGGGGGCGTGCATAAGCGCACCAGTGTACCTACCGTCCCTGTCCTACTGACCTCATTTATTTGTACCCGTTTCATGTGCTCATGTCCATGTTTATACTTATACCTGTTATCTCGTACATGTTTGACAAACTAACTAACTAACTAAATAAATAAATTTGTGATTCTGGCAAAATGTTATCAAATCTACAACTCATCAGCATACATTTTTTTTTATTTTTTTTATTTTTTAAATTTGATTTATATGCCGCCCTTCTCCGGAAACTCAGGGCAGCTTACAATGCGTTAAGCAATAGCCTTCATACTTTTGTATATTTATACAAAGTCAGCTTATTGCCCCCACAATCTGGGTCCTCATTTTACCTACCTTAGAAAGGATGGAAGGCTGAGTCAACCTTGAGCCTTGGCGAGATTCGAACCTGCAGTAATTGCAGGCAGCTGGTCTTAATAACCAGCTTAATAACAGGGTGCCTTAGACCACTGTACTACCAAGGCTCTTATTTTATGGTTTACCAAAGAGTAGCAGTTGCAATCAAACAATAAAATCGAACAATGAAGGATAAAATAAACAGCCATTTTCTCTACACTTTCACATTGTTTATACGTTGAATCCTCTCCGGGAAGCACCACCGAATCCTTCAGCACTAGGTTACATATCTTGCTCAGTTTTCTTCAAAAGTCAATATGAGTTGTTTGGCCTGAAATTTGAACATTAAGGGCAAATGACAGAGTGAGAGGTAAAACCAACGCTGAAATTAAGCACATTTCCTCTGTCCCTAACTAGAATAGATAATGAGATATAGAGACATTTATTGCCTATAAAGAACTCTGGAAGGAGCGTAGTATTTAATTATTTACTTCACTGTTGATTAGAGAATGCAGAGTAGGACTTGTAATTGAGGCACTTAAGTCTTTATCCCTGGCATTGTATGACACAATGATTTGTGCTGCTAAAATATCCCAGATGGGAAAAAAAGAAAGAAAGAAAGAATGGGTGTTCAGAACTGTTTTCTTTTAAATGGAAGCCATTTGAGGACTGGATGTGAATGTTCATTGTGAGAAATGAAGTATTAGGTATAATACTAATGCAATATCCTTTGTTCTGTGATCACAATTGTGGGTCTTCTTTTCCTCACCCAAACAGAGCAATTATATGTTAAGTTGTTTTTATTAATAAACACTGCCAACGCTAACCAGTGGATGCAAAATTGAAAAGAATACAACTTTGCTGGGAGAAAACTCATTAACTGCATTAATTGAAGAACATAGGCAAGATAATGAATTTGTCATTGGGGGGAGGAAATCAGAACAATTCTATTGTATTTAGAGGGTTATCTACATATAAATAGTAGTCAATGAAAGTTGTATTTGGTCTGCCCAGCGACGAAACCTTGGAATGTCTGGAAGTCCATTTTCAAGCAAAACATGATTCACAAGCATATTTTACATATTTAAGATGCTTCTCTCAGCCATATACAGTAGTGGCCAAAATTGTGGAAACCTTTTGGGAAAAGTGTATTTTCTAAAACTAGTTAATAACACCCCACCCCCCTTTTTTTTGGAGTAGTACCATAAAATTATATGTCAATGGAAAGATAATTTAATCAAGAATGTAATGCAATAACTTTTACGAAGGATTTGCTATTAGAATAGCAGTTTCAGTATAAAGAAGAAAAAGTGAAACACGTAGAAAAAATGAGATATACAAAAATTATCACCATGTCAGTTAATACTTCGTTGGGTAACCTTTAGCATGAACTACGGCCTTACAACATCTTCCCATGGATTGAACCAAGTCTTTTACTTCTGCAGTGGTTATAATGTGAAACCAAGATTGAATGATTGCTTCTATTAACTGGGTTTTATTGCTGGGTCACTTCTGACTAACAAGTTTCTTTAGTTGGCTCCATAGATTTTCAATTGAGTTAAGGTCTGGGCTATTCCCAGGCCATTCCAGCAGTAGAATTGGATTATCTTGAAACTCAAAAAAAGTGGTGTTATTAGCCATCAAACCTCAAAAATACATTTTTCCCAAAAGGTTTTCATAATTTTGGCCACTACTGTAGCTTTATTTAACCCTGCTAATGAAGATGCACTTTTTTTTCCAATATACATCGTTTAAATTTAACACCACTTATTTCTATGACAATTCTCTGGGTTTAGATTGAAACATACCTTCGATTTTTAAGAAATGTAATTTGGGATGTGAAAAAGAAGGGAAGGCAAGAGAAGGGATGGAAGGGAAGAGAAGGGAAGGGAAGGGAAGGGAAGGAAAAGAAAGGAAAGGAAAGGAAAGGAAAGGAAAGGAAAGGAAAGGAAAGGAAAGAAAAGGAAAGGAAAGGAAAGGAAAGGAAAGGAAAGGAAAGGAAAGGAAAGGAAAGGAAAGTTCAAAAGAAAGAAAAAAGACTGGGTTAGTTAATGAAAATTGTGCTGGTATGAAATGTACACCAAGTAAGCTCCAAACAACAATGAAAGGTAAGTAATGGATGGATGTTTCAGTGCTGCTTTACTGAAGGAGAAAACAAGACATGAAAACTCAATTAGAGTCTTAGGACTGGTGTTTTCCTTTCCTCCCTTCCTGAAGGTTTTGGAAGAGCCAGTGTACAGCTTCCAAAAGCATGAGGTCTCTTTATCCTTAAAAAGCACAAAAGCAAATTATGTGAAGGGTAATAGACAGAAAATGGAACAGGGATACAGGGAAGGAGAGATTCTATCCATTTAAGGACACAGCCTACCTCACATTTCCTTCTAAGAGATTACTGATTGCACCAGCTTTGATGACAATGACATAGTATGTTGAACTTGCATCAAACATCTTTACCTGCACAAATCCATGTGGGAAACAAATCCTCTTTCAAAGAACCGTTTGATCCCACAGCAAGAGAAACTCCATATCAGCCTTTTGTTGAAAATGTAAGGTGCAATATAAATCTAATAAATATGTAAATGGCACAGCATGTGATCCATCCCAAGTCTAGGCAGAAAACATAGAGCACAGCAGTAGTGGATTTATCACTCATGTAATAATGTAGTAATTGCAGGGGAGGACAAAGGAAGCGATACAAAGACAATGTCAGGGTAACACCCCCAACAAAAACCAAGTAACACATAGAAAGCCTCCTTCAAGTCCCTGGATATCAACACCACCTCCTGGAAAACCCTGGCACAAATTCAATCGGCATGGTGCACGGTGATCAGGGGTGGGTTCTACTTATCTTTACTATCAGTTCGCAATGGGATCGCACGTGCGCCTTCTGTGCATGCGGACATCGCTGATGATGACATCCGGGGCGGTGGTTGGGGCCTCCCAGCGGTTTTACTACCGGTTCTTGCGAACCGGTCCGAACCGGGGGCAACCCACCACTGATGCTGATCCACCAAGGCTGCCAGACATCTGAGGCAGAGGTGGGTTTCAGCAGGTTCTGACCAGTTCTGGAGAACCGGTAGCAGAAATTTTGAGTAGTTTGGAGAACCGGTAAATACCACCTCTGACTAGCCCCGTCCCCTTCTATTCTCTGCCTCCCGAGTCACAGCTGATTGGGAGGAAATAGGGATTTTACCATATCCTTCCCCTGTTATGCCCACCAAGCCACACCCACCAAACTATGCCTGCCCACCAAGCCACACCCACAGAACCGGTAGTAAAAAATTTTGAAACCCACCACTGATCTGAGGACAGCAGAACAACCATAGCACAAGAGAAGCGAGCACTCCGCAAAGCCAGAGCTGCAAATGCTGCAACAATGGTGCCCACATGTCTGCCTGACATGTGGCAAAAGATTTCATGCCTGTATAGGCCTTACCAGCCACCTCCGGACACATCATGGACAGCCCACATGCTGTTAGATGTCAAGGTCCTCTTCGAACATGATGGACGAACATCATCACCATCAGTAATGTGGTAGAAAGATGCAGAATAAATTAACAGTTGAAAGACTCATACATTATAATAAATCATAATTTCACAGTATACAATAAGGAGACTTTAAACTCAAAGACATGTAACAGAATCATAACCCTTATTCATTTATGCTGACCAGAAAGGATTTATTTATTTTAAATCAACGTCATTGGGACCCATAAAAAAAAAAGAAGCATTTTCAAGTGGTCAAATTCCTTTATTTATTTATTTTTTTAAAAAAATCTTTATTAAATTTCAAAATCAAACATTAAAATGCAAAGTCACATGAAAAGGGAAAAGGGAATAATGGAATATTGGAATAAGTTAAAAATAAATTTTAAAAAGTTAAGTGATTGAATTCCTTTATTTATTTATTTTTTAAAAAATCTTTATTAAATTTCAAAATCAAACATTAAAATGCAAAGTAACGTAAAAGGGATAAAGGAATAATGGAATAAGTTAAAAAGTGACTAAAATACATCGAACAAATATATAACAAATTGTGACCTCCGATATTTTTCAGTGGAGAGACAATAAAAATACAACAAATTCTTTCTAAGCTTAAATGAATAATAAAAGGTAAAGATACCCCTACACTAGTTGTAGCTAACCTTAGATGACAATGCTCATTTCTGTTTCTTTAAGCCATTGAGCCAGTGCTGTCTGAAGAAGTTTCTGTGTTTCATATGGCCAACATGACATCACAATGCAGTGTAAAGCGTACAGTGAAACACGGAATGCTGTTACCTTCCTACCGAAATGGTACCTATTTATCTACTTGCATTTACATGCTTTCGAACTAATAGGTTGGAAGAAGCTGAGGCAAGTGATGGGAGCTCATTCTGTCATGTGGTGGTAGGACTCCAACTGCCAGAGCACAGAACTTCTCCAGCATCTTTTGAGCTACTGAGCCACTGGACTTCCTAAATAAAAAATACCACTGTTTAAATTACCATAAGCTACTAATTCTCAGCATTCTAAAAAAATATTCTTTTCTTAATTTTAATCTAAAGTAAAGTATCTTTCTTTCTAATCTTATCTAAGGTAAAGTATATTGTCAAATATATGCTAGTGAACAGATTCCAAGAGTAATCCTGGTGAGAGTTTGTTCTAGAACTCTCCAGAATTAGAAGTGAAGAAAGGACTTTAGTGAAGCGGTTGTTTTCATCTCCACAGTAGCTACCAGCCTTGATCCTATAAGCAGACCACAGAGTTACAAGATATTGCAAATATGCTATCTATCCTATGATATTCAATATGCCCTGACTATTAACTCTGTAGGGACATGGTGGCTCAGTGGCTAAGACGCTGAGCTTGCCGATCGAAAGGTCGGCAATTCAGCGGTTCGAATCCCTAGTGCTGCATAACAGTGTGAGCTCCCGTTATTTGTCCCAGCTTCTGCCAACCTAGCAGTTCGAAAGCACGTAAAAAATGCAAGTAGAAAAATTGGGATCGCCTTTGGTGGGAAGGTAACAGCATTCTGTGCGCCTTTGGCGTTTAGTCATGCCGGCCACATGACCACGGAGACGTCTTTGGGCAGTGCTGGCTCTTCGGCTTTGAAACGGAGATGAGCAGCGCCCCCTAGAGTTGGGGATGACTTTATTAACTCTGTGAGCGATGGAGTCTTTTACAATGTGAGCATTCCTTGTTGAGGTTTCCAGCAGCTCTGTCCTTTATTTGATTCCGTCCAATTTGCAGCCATGTTGATACGGGTTGTCAGCAAGCTTCAAATCATTTTCTTTCAACAAAAGCTCGCTAAACAGGACTTTGGAAGCAAAACGGACATTTTAAAAATGGGCTTTTTATGTTAGGTTTGTAATATAATTTGCCAGGTGTTTCCCTCCCTTTTCGTCAATAGATGAAAACGTTATTTAGAGTTCAAGAACAAATGCAATAAAAGAACGGCATACAATACAATAACTACCAGCAGTTTAATTATTTTTTTTTAAATTCTGAGAAAATATTATTTTCACCATTATGAATATTATTTTGGATCCTGAACTACGTTACTAATATGATTGTGTCTCTCTGTAGGTTCTCTTCTTCTGATGATTCGTTTTAATGTAATCAAATAACAATTTAAAAAATGGTAGGCAATGTTAGCCAATGTGGGACGATAGGATGGTTTATAATTAAAAATCTGCAGTTCTCTGAAATTTTTATTGATTTTTTTCCCCCTGTTCTTACGAACACAGTTTTCTTACAGAACTGACTGGCTTTTAATTTTTCTTCTGTAAAAGGGCAGAGGGCATTATAAATATTACAGAACTTAGATTCCCATAGATTCCCTTTGCTTCTCCTAGGACAAGGGTCTGCAATCTTAAACACTCAAAGAGCCATTTGGAACCATTCCCCATAGAAAAGAAAACACTGGGAGCCACAAAACCTGTGTGGGCATGGCCAATTCAATGTCACCCAATCACATGACCACCCTCAACCACACCTACCCAGGTTTTGTGGCTCCTGGTGTTTTCTTTTTTGTAGGAAACAGGTCTGTCTGTCTGTCTGTCTGTCTGTCTGTCTGTCTGTCTGTCTCTCTCTCTCTCTCTCTCTGTCTCTCTCTGTGTGTGTGTTTCTCTCTCTGCTCTCTTTCTCTCTTTCTCTCTCTCTCTCTCTCTCTCTCTCTCTCTCTCTCTGCTCTCTCTCTCTCTTTCTCTCTCTCTCTCTCTCTCTCTCTCACTCACTCACTCTGTGTGTGTGTGTGTGTGTGTGTGTTTCTCTCTCTGCTCTCTCTCTTTCTCTCTTTCTCTCTCTTTCTCTCAGTCGCTCTCTCTCACACTCTCTTTTTCTTTCTCTATCTCTCTCTGCCTCATTCTCTCTCTCTCTCTGTGTGTGTGTGTGTGTATGCACTCCTGCCCATCTTCACATGTCGAGTGCTGGGAGGGAAGGGCGAGGGGTGGGGCCAGCCAATGGTGGGATCACCCTACAGGGAGCCACAGCAGAGGGATGAAAGAGCCGCATGCGGCTCCAGAGCCACAGGTTGCTGATCCCTGCCCTAGGAACACCATAAAAGCAGCTGAAACAGAACAATTGCTGTATAAATAACTTAGTTTGCAACAGAGACAAATTATCACTTAGATGATTAACAAGCAACCTTACCATTCAGAGCATGAAAAGGATAATTTGCAAGGTATAAAGGCACTAATAGATGTCGTGTACTGTATATGGGAATTTGTCTAGGGTAGAAAACAAAGATTTCACTTGCTTAAGTCTTGAATGGAAGACTCTAGGCTTGGCTGGGAAGCTGAAATTACAGACCAGGAGAAGGCAATGGAAAGTCACTTTTATTTTGCTCTCAGGATTTTCCATGAGTATCCCTGTGAAACCACTAACTGAAGCTTGGGTCAGCAGAAACTTTTCTTATTTTAGAAGAATTAAGGGAAACGTGGGACCTATTCTGCTCTCATTCTTAACAGCTTTTAAAAATGGCTTGCTTTTCTTGCTGCTTCTGTTTTCTCTTTTCTCACTCTATCTTTTAATCTTCCTTCCTTCCTTCCTTCCTTCCTTCCTTCCTTCCTTCCTTCCTTCCTTCCTTCCTTCCTTCCTCCCCCCTCCTCCCTCCCTCCCTCCCTCCCTCCCTCTCCTTTTTCCTCATCCTTTCTAGGACTTTTTTTTTTAAATTTGATTTATATGCCGCCCTTCTCCGGAGACTCAGGGCGGCTTACAATGCGTTAAGCAATAGCCTTCATACTTTTGTATATTTACACAAGGTCAGCTTATTGCCCCCACAATCTGGGTCCTCAATTTACCTACCTTAGAAAGGATGGAAGGCTGAGTCAACCTTGAGCCTGGGGAGATTCGAACTTACAGTAATTGCAGACAGCTGGTGTTAATCACAATGCTATCAGTCTGCTGAGCCACCAGACAATATATCATTGTCTCCTGGCTGATGACTCTAGATACATTTTCTGTACTTTGGCTTCTGGTTCATCTCATCTTTTCAACCAAGAATCTTGGGTAGACTGGTTAATGGAAAGAAGGCATGCCAAATGGGTACATTAGGGAGAAATTGCATATATTAGAAGTCCTTTATATCAGAGAATATTTCTTGTTCTGTTTCCTTCCCCCAAATTCTCAAAGTAGGAAAAGCATTCACAAAATATATGTTTCAGGCAAAAGTATAAACATGTTTGAATTAAGAAAAAAAAATAAGAATGAAACTCTATATCCTTGCAACTGTGGTGGCAATGTAAATAGAAATAGAGGGGGGAGGAAGGGAAGGAGGGGAAAAGAAAGAGAAGGGAAGAGAAGAGAAGGGAAGAAAAGGGGAATGAAAGTAAGAGGAGAGGGGGAAGAGGAAGGGAAGAAAGGGAGGGAGGGGGGGAAGAGAAAAGAAAGAAGGGGAGGGAAGGGAAGGGAAGAGAAGATAAGAGAAAAGAAGAGAAGAGAGACGAGAAGAGAAGAGAAGAGAAAGGAAGGGGAATGAAGGAAAGGAGGGGAGGGGAGAAGAACGGAGAGAGGGAGGGAAGGAGGGAGGGAGGAAAGAGAAAAGAAAGAGAAGGGAAGAGAAGAGAAGAGAAGAGAAGAGAAGAGAAGAGAAGAGAAGAGAAGAGAAGGCAAGAAAAGGGAATGAAGGGGAGGGAAGGGAAGGGAAGGGAAGGGAAGAGGGAGGGAGGGAGGGAGGGAGGGAGGAAGGAAGGAAGGAAGGAAGGAAGGAAGGAAGGAAGGAAGGGAGATGAAGGGAGGGAGGGAGGAAAGAGAAAAGAAAGGGAAGGGAAGAGAAGAGAAGAGAAGGCAAATAAGGGGAATGAAGGGGAGGGGAGGAAAGGGAAGGGAAGAGGAAGGAAGGAAGGAAGGAAGGAAGGGAGGGAGGGGAGGGGGAGGGAGGGAGGAAAGAGAAAAGAAAGAGAAGGAAAGAGAAGAGAAGAGGAGAGAAGAGGAGAGAAGGAAGGGGAATGAAGGGGAGAGGAAGGAAAGGAAAGGAAAGGAAAGGAAAGGAAAGGAAAGGAAAGGAAAGGAAAGGAAAGGAAAGGAGGAGAAAATACAAACAAGTCAAAAATAACTGAAAACTAGGAAGACGAGAAGCCAACAATTAGTAACCACCCATTCGTTTACCTGAGCTTAATCAATCTTGCTAGCGTTTGATAGGAATCAAATCAGTTCTTTTAAATTCTCATGAAACCTGATTTGGCTGTTGTAAGCATTAGCATGAATAACCTGAACAATTGGATGGCAAAGTAATCTTGCAATAATATGCTTTATTTTTGGATTTTGCCTCTGCCACATTCCAGGGAAAGAGTAGAGCTTGCTATGTATTGTATTCTTTTTATTTATGCATTCATTACATTGACGGTATATGCTGCCTGATTCCCAGTGACAAGTCTGGGAGCGGTTTTTGTTGGTTTTGTTCTTGTTGTTACCCATCTGCAAACTTGAACGTTTTCCCAAGGTTACTAAAACATCCTTCTCAGTATCGGGAAACGGCAGCCTATATTCGCTTTCTGCCACAAAAGGAAAAGAAAAGAAGAAAATAACACATTTCAAAGCTACGCGGCAAATAATCTGCAACTCATTTACTTTAGCTTAAACCTTGGAAGCACAAAACCAAATGTATTTTATTTAACCACTTGTCAAGGACTTCACGCTAAGACAATCAGGTCCTTGTGACAAATATTTACTCAGGAAATGGTCTTCAGAA